GCGCAACTCAAGTGCCAAATGGTAAGAATTTACAAATCTCTTGTTAAGTAACGTGCACACAATTGAACTTGCACAAGCGCCCCTAACGCCGCCATCTCCACACTTGCCAAGCAGCCGGCAAGTAGTAAGCGACGGGTGGGGTACGAACGAGTGTGTTAAAACAAATTGCTTGCCTTCAACGATTGCCGCAGGGGTGGAAGTTTTTGCAATCGAATGCGAAGAGTGTCGCTGTACAGCATATTCACCAGAGTCACACGCTAATCCAGCCGCATCATCATCGGCCATCGCCAGAGAGCTCATCGATTCGCCTCTCGCAATAAGTCCTTTGCAAATGGGACAATCCAATGAGCTGGTGGGACTTGAAACAGTTGAAGTGCTGGTGGTGGTGGCAGTAACTGCGCCCCCGTTGCTAAAAGAGATGCGACATAGGCGCTCGCTATCCGCTGCCGGAGTCTCTGGCATATCAGCTGAAGTTCCACTGCCACTACCGTCGCCTGAGGAGCACAATGGGCACTGCACCATGGAGGTGGTCGTTGTAGTATTTGTGTCGCATTGTACGCCTGAACTGGATCTACAAAAGCACACACATTCCCGGCATATTGATGAGTACGCAGTGCCTTCACTAAACCCACTCCCACCACCAGACACACAGCTGGAGCACATCGAGCAACGAGAATCCTTGCTGGGTTGCGGGGTTTGTAAGGCTTTAGCGATGCCGCGCACCACTGCCGTTGGTAGTTTTTCCTTCTTCCACCAATGTGCGTACATGCCAGAACGAAACAGCTGTCCATCCGCCGTACTTGCCGCCGCGGAAGCGCCGTCGATGTCATAGAGACTTGAGGAGAACTGCATATTTGGTTGGCTACCAGTCATCAATTGATGAGTGGAGTTCGTTGCCACAGTGTCGATAGTTGCATTACTTGCTGATATTTGAAGCTCAGCTGTAGTTATTGTTGAGATCGGCGCGCATTCGGACGCCGTTGCTCGCAAAGGAAGCGAGTATTGATGATGCAGTTGTTGAGGCTGCGTATCACATTCAGCATTATCGGCCAGATCCTGTGTTGCTTCGGGAGTGAGGAATTTTGCGCGAAACATGCCGCATACATCGAATCGCGTGAGATCAGTAATCGCTTTGGAATCTGAATTGGATGGTTCTGGTGGTGGCATAGGAAAGCGTTCACCAGCGTAGTAGTGTCCGAATTGTAGAACGTTGTCGACAAGTGGTGGATCTGGTGAGGCAATCGTACAACTGCCAGCCATGCCAGAGTCGCTAGATCTTGGACTGGGGCATTGCGAACTCTCACAGCATTTACACTTTGTGCAGGGCACACCGTTATTTTCCTTGCGTAATTTCTGCTGCTGCTGCTGACGGCGTATGCGATCCACTGGAATGTTGCGATCTATGCGATCATGATTGCCGCAAGAATTTTCATTACTTTGGTTGCCGACACTGCTTCCACTGGTCGAAGGTCCCGTATCCATTGTCGCAGCGCCATCATCGACATGCTGATTGGACATTTGCACAAACTGGTAACTGATGCAACGTCTCATTGAATTAGTGCGTTGCGGTTTGCTGTTGTCCGAACAGCCACTAGAACGCTGCGGCTCAATATAGAATTCGGTCGTAGATTGACTATTGTGTAAGGCAACAACGTTGTCGTCGTCTTGAGGATGCAATTCTTTTGTTGAAGTTTTTTTTCGCTCTTGTTGCGGCTCGTTGCTCTCAGCAGTTTGGTTGAAAAGAAATTGTGGCTTGAACATTGTTGGTGGGGATATGATATCGTCGTAGCCCTCCGTAATGCTATACACGAATAAAATGGAAGTG